TCGTTCTTATCAGGTTTGACATATTCCACCCTTTCTCTACTATCGACGGTGTTATTCCTAGTGCTGGCAACACACTTGAATGGCTGGAAGTTGGACCGACGATACGGCATGGTCCTGATGGTCTGGTACTTAATATTTATCGTGTTCGCATCGCTCTACGAACTCAACGTCTTCGGCGAGATGAATCCGCCAGTATGCCCTAGCAAGTTCTAATGCAAAGATGCCTCGTTCGTTTTTGACCTTTGCTCTGCTCAAACGTGGAATGATCGTCCGGAGCAAGAATCGTCGTTCCGGTCGATTGGTCCGCGAACGATGACGCACGCACGGTCGTAGATCATCGTAAACGTTCAGCGACCTCGTTCGAACGTCCCTTTCCCCTTCTTCCTACTTAATAACGAAGACAGCGAGAGACAGATGAGCTTAGAAGGTAGCTGCATGTCGAAAAGAAGCACGATTTTTAGCTTGCTGCGAAATTGTTGAAGCGACCGTTCGAGATTTTAGATAAGAACAAACGGCTTATGTCGTTGAGCTTTTTTTTTCTTTCTAGGCTGTTGTAGAGAATCTAGACAATATGTGCTCGCGCGTGAGTACACAGGCATTGTATCCCATTGGTGCTATTGAAAGTGACAAAAAGAGTATTTTGCTTGCTTCCGTTCGACTAACGAGTCCCGATTTCTTATAATTGACTGAAAGTACGGCAAAAAAAAACATGAATTTTTTCAAGCAATAAGTTTTCGGACAGGCAATACGGCTATTAAGTTGTAATTATTATTAGATGACGTATTGACAGTATCGGCAGTTGTCTGCTAAAATCAGAAAATCGACATTAAATCGACCGTCGCAAAGTTCCAAACTTCTCCAATCTTAACTCTTAGCCACAGACTTCATTGTACGTCGCGCGAGACTTGTCCGATATAGAAAAGAAAATGTGATACGTTTTATATCAGCCATATCGCGCAAATGCCTGAGTACCATGAAAGGGAAATGCGTCTTGACAATTAATCGTTTTATATCCTAAACATTAGAGTAAAAAGAATCCAGTAGAAGTACGGCTTGTTAGAATAGATCTTAGAAGCGTCATATCTGCGGCTAAATGTTAAGACTGTTAACGGTACTGTGCGAATTGTCGAAAGTCGATATCATTGTGGAATTGTTACGAACATGAAAAAATCGACAAAAGCGGGCGAGAGAACTCTCTCTATGACTCGTCGCAAACGTTAAGCGCGATCCTTATCCTATTATCCGACGTGATTTCGGAATATAACACCTACTCGTATATTTTTAAAATATATTTTCTATCACGGAGCGCGACGTACTGCATAAAATATGATATAAGAGAAAATATCTTCGCGCGTTTTTCAAGATGCGAGAGGTTGGAATGTATCTGTATATCGATGTATACAGGTTGTAGGCTAATATTATATTTTGTCACATGACACATGTTTCAAGCCTTGATTGATTGTCTATAGAATAAAGAGATCCGAGAATCTCTATCCTGTAGCCAATTAACACGCTTGAAATAGTCGTACGACAAAAAAAAGGCACAAGTATAATATTAGCTGTACAAGTCAGTTATGGTTTAATTTTTGTTTAATTGAATGTGCTTTTGCCGCCATTCAAGTGATCGAAAAAAAAAGAGACGAGACTTCGCGAGATCAAAGGAGATCCCTCGTTAGCGCGAGTGTAAACGTAAAATCACTTTTTTCCAAAAGAGAAACAAACAAAAAAAAAGAAAGAGAAAGATAATGTCTTGAAGCGCAACGCGAAGAATAAACCGAGCGTATTATTCCCGAGTGACCGAGATTTAAATTCGAATTCTTTGACATTGACGATACGCGGAAACTTCGCGAGAACGAAGGAGCAAGCGAAATTTTATTCGTGATCAAAAGAGACGGAGGAAGAAAGGGGGAGGGTGCGGGAGAATTGGTTCTCCACGAGGGCGAATGAGCGCTGAAAGTGACAATAATTAACGCAGCCTTATCCGATGAAAGTATCTACAACCAGCACTATTATACTGCGCGTTCCTTGAGACTGATTCGCGAAGGGGTCACTTGTAAATGGGTGGACGGGTACAAGAGAAACATCCACCTACAGTGTAATCAGCGTACCTCCGCTTCCGGGATCCTTTGATCTTTCGAGCGCGCCAGAATCGACGATATCGATGACGAGCTACGGAATCGCGTGACGGAATTCCCGCAGGAGGAGTCGCAAGAGATGGGCGTTGAGAAATTAAAAAAAAGTCGACTCCTTTCGCATTCCTTGTATTCTAAATTCGCTTTGATTGGCCGGGAAGCAATAAAAAATCACAATAATACAAATTAAAATTTCAACAACGTTATATATAACGAAGGCAGTTTGATAAATCAGTGATTTCTTTTTAATTTTTTTTAAATAAAAATTCGACTTATTTTTTTTAATATAGTCTCCTTTTAAAAAGTCACTGACTTATCAAACTGCCCACGCGCGCGTACGATGAAGATATTAAAGATAAAAATATTGCCCAAGAGATATTCGAATTCAAATTGCATTCCAATTACTTGACGAATAACTTGGGTTAATACGAATGGATAGTCAATGTTTCTAAAAAAAGAAAAAAAATTCTTATATATTTCTCTAGTACACAATTATCGGCACAATATTGGCCCAGTATTGACTTAGTATTGATCCAATACATCCCCAACATTTAACGAATGTATCCAATAAATTGCTACTAGAATTATATTTAAGAATCCTGCGAGCATTCTGTCGATACAGCTCATTGGGCTGCATCTTTAATAAATCGGCTGTTTCCTTAATGATCGCGAGTACGCAAGGATCGCGCAGACGCTTTAGTGTGATTATATAAATTTAGCGTACGTATAATATATATATAATATAACGCGAAGAGAGGCTTAGATCGCGTAATGACTATTGACCGTTCAACGTGTTTGTTCACTACGTTTGTCCGTTATTGTTAGCGCGTTAGAGCGATTTATGCATATGAATATATTACTATTATATATATATATATATATATTCGCGTTGCGATGCGTTCGATGCCGATGGCGAAGGGACCGAAATGTATCTCGAGGTTGCTCTAAGAATATTCTGCGACCGAGGCGAAGATGGAAGTGTAGTCGAAAGCGAGTGTCTCAGCGTCGGACGCATCGACGCACGGCTTCCAAAATTTAGGAAGCGCCGACCGAGTAAAAAGGCGCCTTAGATCTTCATTAAAAGCGGACCAGTCTCGCCGTCGATTTCGCGGGCTCCGTACCGCGGCATCGATCGCATAATTCGAGGAGGATACATCGAACCTGGCGAACGATTTCGTTCGCACGCACGAAGAAACGAGGGAAGGATCATTAAGGGCACACTTAGAGGTTCGACCTCCGAGAGCGCCCGCAAATCTTTAGGCTTTAGAAGCGGCTAGCGATAACGGTTCGCGGAAACGCGTCCGTTGGACAGGGTTGTTACAAAACTGAAAATCAAGGAAATCAGGGAAAAGTCAGGAAATTATGCCAAATTTTCTGGAAAATTAAAATTTTTGGTTGTAAAGAAGTTTAATATGTATATAATTTTGAAATACTGCCAACTTAATAATTAAATGCAAGCAGTGTCAACAACATTAATAGTAAGTTACATTGCTATGTTAAATTGCAAAAAAAAATATTTGACGATTTCCAAATCAAGATGAAAATACAAAAAATTTCAAAATATTATTGAAAGTATCAGAGAAAATCATGATATTTTGTCTGGAAATCAGAAAAAAGTTATAGGAATTTTAGGATGAGGAGTTTGTGACAATTCTATTGAAGATTCAATCCATCCTGGGAAAATCTTTAGGAAGCAAAAACTTGGACATCGTAGCCGCCTCTGACGAGGAGAGCCGCGCGTGTGAACCCCGCGGGTCCACACTTCGAGCATCAACGAACGGAACATTAAGGACTTACAATTAGAGTTTATTAGGGGATCTACCCGTCTAATTTCCGTCGACTTTTTTTTTTACCGCGCAGTCCGAAACCATCGGCCGAAACGTCGACGATCGCTCGGGGAACCGGTGTCGTTTAGAGTCAATTCACTTGTGGCAATTATTAGTAGTAATTAGGAGGGTTCGCGGGGTGATCTAGAGGGTTGGGGGAATAGGGAACGCATGCGTCCCTCGTCTCCCATTTCTCGGGACGCTGTCCGAACGTCGATCAATTCGAGGGTGCCCTTAATAGTGTAATCGAAGTCAATAATGTACCTTTTTAGATGTTCTCTCTCATAATTATAATTCCGTGAATTGCCCGTCCTTTTAAGATGTTCCCACCTCCAGCGGTTCCCAGAGGATCGCACGGGGAGGCCAACGACGATATATCTATCTCATCTACATCGAGTACACTTGTACAAAATACAGCAGAATGCTTGCACAAAATGCAGGACAACGTGAAGCAGCGTTCACCGATAACGTTAACGCAAAATATCGAAGGTAGAACCGAAAGGCGTCGGGCGTAGCGGAGATCAGACGTAATCGTGTTGTTGATCTACCGGAATATAATACGTAGATTTTATATCACGACATTGTGTACTTAGATTATATATATATTACCGATATATACATATATACATTACCTGATTAATTAAGTTTATACAGCCGTTTCTCCTCTACTTGCAGTATTATCCCAGTCTTCGTCGCGTATATACGTTTGAATACGTTCGTACCTGTTAAATCGCAAAGGAGAGAGCCCTCCCCCGTCCCTCGTTGTACGATAAGTGATTTTTCAATCAGTTTCTCCTTTCCGGGATCTCCTCAACGCCTCGCTTCGTATTTCGATTCCGCTCTCTTCTTTGCAGCCAGGATTCAATGGCAGACGCAGCCGCGGTCGATGGCAGCTTCGAAAGTATCATAATTATAACAAACATACTTATATAACGTAAGACATACTTAAAAAAATAAAAGAACTGTATACAGCACATAAAGAAAGTAGACATACAACGAATACAATTACATCGGCTGCCGCTGTAATAGCCACGCTATTTTGCCCATACCGCTTTCGCAGCAATCAGCCGTTGAGCGAAGTTCCATGATTCTCTTTTCCTTTTTTGCGCCGTTTGTCGTACAAATGCAAAAAAAAGTATGCGAATCACCGGGATCTCTCCAACCTATGTCTCTTTCCATCGTTATTCAAATTCCCAGAAGTATATCCTAACGCGTCAATATATATATAATATATATACATATATATATGTATGTATATTGAGAGTATACGTGCGTAGTAAATACAAAGAGCTAGAAAGAGCCTAAAGTACATATATATCTATATATATATAATAAATTTATGCGCCACGTTTCATCGCAAGGAGAGTTACGTAGCGAATGGAAACAATTTAATATTACACATACCTTGTTTAGCTTGAAAGCGGGAAGAAAGTAGATTAGTTATGTACTCTAATGTACTTAAAACGTTTCAACAATAAAGCTATTGCTACCAATTGATCTCGATCTGAAGAAAACGGCTAGTCTTGGTTTTAATTTTGGAAATCATGAGTAAGTAATAACACCAGGTTTTACGAATTACATTAATATTTGTGTTTTATAAAATTTTATACGTTTAAATTAAGTTACATTAGACGTAGATATTTCAATAATGTATACTTCTACGGTCTGTGCTTTTAACGCGGTGATATTTGCGTTCGCAATTAGTTCCCAGTACTTTATAAACATCCATGATGCATAAAAAAAAATATATATAAAATCTATGCAGATTTTACGTATTTTGTCGTTTGCACAATCAATGCATCATGGATCTTCAGTATTTATGATGGTGCTTAAATATATATATAAAAAAATGTGTACAAACTTCCGGTACGCTCAAGAATCCGCAGTTTTCTGCTCCAATTGATGCTGCGACTGTTGACGTTCCTCATTGCGCGGCATATCGCAACTCGACAGAGATTGCAGCTTAGGCGGACAATTGTCCAAAGTCGACTCGAGAGCATACAGTTTGTCGAGTTGCTGGCGAATATGATTCAGACATTCTAGACGAACAATCCGTCTGCTAGTGGAATCTCTATGGATCGTTAAACCGTTGAACAATAACTGCCAACCATTCTCTTGAAGTTCACGAGTTATCTTCTCAAGACTCTCTTGTTCCGTTTGTTCCTGCTGCACAGGCACGTCATTCTAACAACACAAAAAACATTTATTGCAACGATGCAGGAATATTCGACCTAATAATATCCTCTTTTTGTAAAATTATGAGAAAAAGATATTGCTTCCTCGCTTCAAAAGACACAATTTAAAAAAATTAATTTTCTCAGAAAAGGGGAAAAGCTATTTTTTCAACAATTTCAACTTGAGAGAAAATTCTCTTATTTGTTAATAACTTTATTCGTTAATAACTTTTGAATGAATAGTGATCGCCACCTAAAACCTTTTGAAGGTCACTCAGGGCCATGACAACATATGTAAAGGTCAAGGAAAATTCTGGACTAATCAAATAATATCGGCAAAAGAATATATTTTTAACATGATGCTATTTTTATCATTTGATTATATTATTTGATAATATATTTTTCGTCGATATTTGATGTCAAAATTTTCTGTCAAATTAAAAAATAGTTTTCTCCTTTCACAACTCTAAAAAATTACTCTTTTATAACGATTTTGACGATTTTTTAAAATAAAGTTGAGTTAGTTTACTTTTGATCATTAATAGGATAATGTTCAGTTAATAATTACATTCATTCATAATATCATCACTCGAGAATCACGTTTTTTAAATTATAATATCACTTTTGAAGTAAGGGAGCGACATATAGAAAATCAAGAGAAAACTAAGAGAAGTCCTAAACATATAAAAAAAGAAATACATATTTTACGCGCATGTATGAGATTGATGAATAAATTAAGATACATATCGTTAACTATGTACTTTCGTATCGTCCGTGGTACCAAGCATACAGTTAATCGATTCCAGAATGCGAGTTTTAGTGGCGTGGAGATCCAGCTTTGCTAGACGCTCGGGTTCGTTAAGTACGAGTTCCTTCGTGAGTCTATTAATTGACTGGCCGATCAAGGTGGATGACTTGCTCGCTGCATCCCCAGTCTTTCTCGATTTCACCGTTCTCGCGATATTTTCAGGTTTTCGTCTCTCGAGTCTCTTGTCATCCTCGCTTATCGTCGCCTCACCGTCGCCTCGCTTCAACCTCTCCAGGTCCTCAAGGCTCAAAACGAAGTTTCTCATCTCCTGAGACTCGACGTCACTTTCGTTCTTCGTCTCCGTAACATATTCACCGTCACCGATGCCGACGTAACGACGCCTCAATTCAGGATCGAGTACGCGCGACTTCCTCGACTGGACAGCACGTGGGATGTACTTCACCGATACCTCACTCTCGGCGTCGGAACATTCCCGCTCGTCTGGCGATTTCTAGAAGATATCAGATAAATTCGAAAATAATCGGGATGATAGAAAAGTCCCCTTTGACGATTTTTTATGTAATAAATTACGCTTCTTCAAAGCTACGCTTTGCAGATTATCTTCGTGTTTAACATCGTTAAATGTTAAGGTTTCTAGAACATTGCAGTTCATCAAGGTGAGAAGCAACCTGATATCCAGTATCAAGTTGCTTTTCTCTCCCTAATGAAGTGAACTGTAATGTTCTTGAAACGTTGGCATTTAACGATGTATCAAAACACGGAGATAATCTGCAAACTATGTAGCTTCTTTGAAGAAGCATGATTACATAAAAAATCGTCAAAGGGGATCTTCTATTATCCTGATTATTTTAACAATATATCAAGCTACAGAGATAATCCGCAAACCGCGTAGCTTCTTTGAATAATATAAAAATAATAAAAGCCTCCAAAAGTATTATCAAATTATGCTTCTCTTTTAGAATCGTAGAGTACGGACAATTTTTCGTTGAAGAATGGAGTATTAGTACCTCAGGCTGTTTACAATGACGGTGTTTTTTTATCGAGCTCTTGACGGGTATCGCTCGCGCATACTTGGAGCAAGCCACGATATCTTCGTTGGTCAATTCTGAGTTCGCAGCGTCTCCCTTCATTCTGAACAAATACCTATCATGCTCGAATCTCCGCTGACGATGAGTCTGCAACGGTCTTTTGGTGCAATGAGGATGAGCATCCGTTTGATAATCGTGCCAATATAGTTTCTGCGTCAAGGGACTGCTCTGCGATTTCTTAATGGCCGAGCTAATCGGCTCCGCAAAGACACGTTCACATTGATCTATCATCGCTTCAACGTTTTCCAAAGTCCTTGAAGGTAATCCCGATTCGATTAGAGAAGTTATTTATTTTCTTGTTGAAAGTTAAGAAAGGAAATATTATTTTGTTAACTATTAATGAAGCTTAATTATATCTGTGAGTATTTTCAACCTTTCAATGGAAAGTAAAAAATATTGTAAAATACTGTGGCGATTACAATTAAAAAATGAATGAAAATTCTTGATTGATATAAAAAAGAGTATTTCTGTGTTCAGAAAAATTCATTCAGGGTCATCAACGGATGAAGATCTTGATAAAGAAAAAAATCAATATCAAGGAATTAGAAGTCTATTGTGTACAGTCCCGGCTAAAAGTTCAGAAATACTTACGATTATTTCATATTTTACGAAAAATTGGATATCTCGGTGAAAAAAATTGTAGAAAAGTCTTTGATCACGCATTTTTAAGGGCAAAGATAGAATTCCGCGTTTGAAATTTTATCTACAACATTTTGTTCCTAAATTACATGAAATTGAAAATTGATATTTTTTACAATATTTTTGTCTTACTTTGAAACGCTGCAGTTTCATGAAAAATCATCGAACATAATTTATTGAATTTTTTGTGTAAAAACTCATTTTTTATAAAATGTTTTTAATTTTAAAACTAAAGAGTTTATGGAAAAAAGAAGAAAGAGAACAAATGTTTGGTATAAAGTCCCGAAATCGTACAAATTTTATCAAAAATTTTAGAACCTTTTTTCTTATCGTACATGACTTTTATTAAATAGAACAAATTTTATCCACTTTATCACTTTCTGAAGATTAAAAGTTTCAAAACATAAATAAAAACATAAACTGATTTGCAAATTGTAACTTGTTATAAGTCAATTTTTATTAATAAAGAACCTTTCTCTCTCTCTCTCTCTCTCTCCATACAATTTATTTATGTTCATATTGGTGTTTCGAGACTTTTGATCTGAGGTATTTAACTTTTTGTAAAATATCAAAAAATCGTGTTTCCAACTTTCGGCCTATATGTAAAAAATTAACTTACATATACATAGATAAGAAAAGAAAAAATAGTTTTATCGTACACATACATTCAGATATAGACCGTATATTAAATTCGTTAATAATTAATTTATAATTATTCTTTATTAGGTTAATTATTATCTTGCTTAGACAGAATAAAAGGAATAAAAAGTAAGAACAGGGTGTATAATAGATTTTAGAAACTGTGTATCACAAATGTATAGCAATTTCGGATAGATTGAAATCTATTGCCTGTGTGTTTATTTCCTATTCCTATCCCTTATTCCTTTTATTGTGTTCGAGCCTTTAATCAGGTGGAAGTATCTTCACCTTGGTCTACCAGGCGAAGAGAATCTTCGCCTCTCAGGCGGGCAGTGACACGAAGGACAATGCTTCTCATAAGTTCTCGTTCTCCTTTTATGCATCACAACATTGCGCGGCAAGTCCTCGGATTCGTTTTGTCCACAATTAGAGCAGAATTCACCGTGACGATACAATCCGGTGTTCCTATACGCGTTCGCGGGTATTCTCTTGTACAGTTCCATAATTTCCTAAAATAAGTCGTAGCCAAGACCGAGTATAAAAGCTGCCGGAAACTTAATCCTTTTTCAATTTATCCGCACCGTATTCAATTGTAGTTGAAGTTCGGCCAAGGATTCTTGCATCCGATGATAACAAAATTCCACCAAGAAGGTCGAACTAAACTCATGATACTGTTATTAATACATGACTTCCGTTTCTCAAAGAGCATACAATAAATTTCGTTCAATTATTAATGTCTTCGTGAGTTTAAAATCGTGAGCACAAAGAAATATAAAAAAAGTATATAGGTAATATGAAAGATTGTATACCATACATACTGCGTATAGAAAAAAAGAAACTCAAGAAACTTTGACGCGACTCATGCTTGTCCAAGTTCGATGCGAACGTGTTTCGATTCGAGTTCGTCGCAAAATTTGATGCAAATCTAAGGAAATTTATTTACTGGAGCTGGATATTAAATCCATTTGGAAAAGTGAAACGTTGTGTTATTATTTATAGCGCGTGCAAAATCCTTAGAAGTAATTAATTAAAATTCCTTGTAACCTCTGAAATATTAACATTAGGATGTCATATCAATTCTATAGAATGCTCACTGTATATAAACAATCGATTTATTGCACTGATAAAAATATCACAGATTTTAAAAATATAATATAGAAATATTTAAATAATATTTATAATATATATATATATATATATGTACATCTATATGTGTATTTTCGGTTATATAATGGATAACAATCATAACAACTCAAGATTACGAATTGATAATTATATAATTTCGAGTAATTAGAAAAATAACAGCAATTTAGGAAAAAAGTAGTATTATTTATGAGAAAAAACATTTTAAGAATAATTTGAAAAAATTTTAGAATTGGCAGGGTTATTCCTACTTTCAATAATTTTACGAAATTAATGTATAGACAAAGATAAAGACTCAGAGACTTCTAATTCGACAATATACGAAACGACACTGGATGATTATTGAAAGGGGCATATTTATGTGAACATTTATGCCACACACGATTTTTATTTAAAAAATACTGTTTATTGTAAAACAATTTGCGTATCTCTCTTCTGATGGGACATAATGTAAAATAAATATCATACATACAAATATACACGCGCGACGTAGCGTCAACGCATCAGAGATTGTACATTATTTTTTACAGTCTGAGTTTAATATTCCGTAGGATACTTTTTTTTTAGTTCTCCTGACTATGGGCAGCGTTATCTAAAAGGAGGCTAGAATATCGCCAAATGGAGTTCCAGGTTCTTTCGCGGTAGCTTCGAAAGTCTCGACAAATGCCTTCTTTTGAGATTCTTTAGATAGCTGAAATCAATAAACCAACAAATAAAATAGATGCTAAAAACAGCTAAGAGTTAAGTAACATTGACCTACTTTATGATAGAAATCCGAAGCTGCTATACATAATATTTTCTTGTCTTCATATTCGTATTTTCCTATTCTCGACTGGACGTACGGAAATCTATCACGTTATAGCTAAGGAAAGATTACTTCTCCAAAGAAAATTATAAAGTTATGTCGGTGAGAAAAGGATACAAAGCTCTCAACCAGTGGTTTGTCGACGCACTTATGAAGAAACAGGACAAGCACCAAGTCGACATTGCCATCGGCAAGCTTTGAATGAAATTCGGTAAACTGAAGACCACCCAGTCTTGAAGGAGCTCCATTTCCGTGCAGGTACACGCTTTCTCACAGACCTGGCGTAAAATCAGATCAAATCATACATTTGCACATATTTTATCTCGCACTTCAGACGCGATATAAATCTTCGATCAATTTACAAACTTTAAAGACAACGGCAGAGAGTAATCTTGGGTGCGGTTGCTGCGGGGACAGGAATTCTCCAATAACTTTAGTGAGGATCTCTGAAGGTGGGAAAAAGTCCCCGAGGAGATACGACAGAACTGTGCATAGCACCTCCACCTCCATGGAATGTCCCTTGCGGATCTTGTCGAATATCGCGGAAATGCGTTCGATAGATCGAACCAGCGTCTCTGGCTCCACATCTGGCAACGGTTCTTCAACACCAGGCTGATTCAGTCGATCAGCCGCCTCCGTATACATGCACGTCAGCAGAAGTTGTAATGCTGGTAATGCAAGCAGGGGACTGGGTTGCTTCAGCCGATCTATCGCGACTTTAACGATTTGCTCGGCGACTTTGCCAACGACGCTTTTTGTCGCTACAAGCCTCTCAAGACCCTGTCAAGATAAATAAGCAATTTGCGTATTTGTGTTATTTGTGCATTAACTAAAGATGAAGAACACCGACATACCTGTAGAAGAGTTTGATGTAAACCGTACGAGATATTTTGAGATGTGACTAGAGAAAGGACTAATTCCAACACGGCCGGCGCTTCCGTGTCTGGTGGTGTGTCCTCCGCGTGTTCCAATAAGAAAAACACTAGAGCCCACATTATTCCCTGATGCTCTTCACTCTGGCTTAGAATACTGTATCAAAGCAAAAACGAATTAGACAATGGTCACAAAATGACATCAAACAAATTAATAAATGTCTTCTTTATCAAATGAAATTAAATTATTTTGAATTATCACCTATTCGAATCCTGTGAGTCAATGTGCTTCTGTATATATTCAATAGCCAGAGGATGTATAATATTCATTGTTTCTTCGCATTTGGCCAGTACCGCGCTTTGCAGCAAGTACAGAGAGCCGTGAAGCGCGGACACTCTGGAAGCCAGGAATACTGACTTTAAATTAACGTCCACTATACGCTTTACTTTATCTAATGTGTCCAAGTCCTATAAAGTAATGTTGGTTAAAAAGGATCTTTATTTCTTTATTATATATACGAAATTCCTAGCGCGTACCAAAGGCGTTAAAACGGCGGCAGCTTTACACACAGAGACGGCCAGATATTGATGCAAGACCACGTTCTCCGTTGGATGAACCCTCGAGACTTCCAGGCACACGTCCAGCATCCACTGGTATTGCGATCTTTCGAGGAAGAGTTCTGAGATCGCCAGAATAGACTTTATGATCTCCGTCAACAATTGTACAGGCGTGTTAGCCTGCGGCGATGTCCAGATAGTGTAGTGCTCTATCAGAAAGCGCAGACAGGAGTCTAGATCGAGGGAGGCGGACATCAGTGCGTCGTTACGCCTGTTCTTCAAATCGAGAACGGAAGCGTTCAACTTGTCCTCGTATAGATTGCACAGCGACCATAAGTAAGAGACCGATAGTTGGCTATACATATATCTATCGGAAACCGCAGTTCTCTCCACATTGCCTCGCTGGAATATGTGACCCAGTTTCAAGCCGTTCTTATTTTCCGCATCGTTCATGTATTCGTACTTCCACAGGAGCAGTTCCTGTATCGCAAACAGTTTCTGAGAGCTGGTTTTATACACGGAAAGTTGGGGATCTCTTGGGTGGTGGATCAGAGTGCTAGCACCAGGATTGCCAGGACAAGGCAGCAGCAACGTTTGCAGCAGTAATCTCGTTATCGCCTGAATCGCCAGGCTACTCGCTTGTATCAAAGCCGCGACTTCATCCGAGGGCGTGTTCTCATTTTGCAGGAAGTTGAGAACGCTTAGAAACGCCATCCAAATCTCCTCGAATTGTGACCTAGACGTCCAACCCAGTAAGTTTACTCGGTAGATAAACTGCTCCAAAACATCCACCTCCTGTAGAAGATTAGATTCCGACATAAGCGGAAAGTAGCACTTGGTAGGACCTGAGCCGATGACGTGACAATCGCGTTTCCACACCAATGGAGGCGTCAAGATGTAAGAGTTTACTAATGGCTGACGACTTATGCTGATAATCAGCGACTTTATCGTATTGAATAGATACGGTGGTATATTCCTCGTAGTGTCATCCGCCTGACACTTTTCGAGCCAGGCCACTATCGACGCCATTTGAATGCACGCCCGGGCGTAATCTTTCGTATCTTCATCCTGGAGAGCTGGCTCCAGCGCTTGGCAATCCATTGTCGGCAAGGGATCCACCGTTGTTAGTATACTTTCCACGACTTTCGTCAGAGAGATCGCCGCGGAACAAACCCAAGTATAACGCGCATTATCACCAAAAATCTTATTCGGAGCGGCGTGCCGCAGAATTTCGGCCGCGCAACTTAGCGCGAGGTCCATGTCATGCGGTCTCAATCTATGGACATCTTTCCTATCCGAATAGATCATCCAATGTGCCAGCTCAAGACATAGCATAGAAAATTTGGCGATATCCTCCTCGAATTTCATATCGATCTTCGCCACATTGTACTTAGCTAGTTTCGGTAATGTCTTCATGTAAACTTTGACAGTTGGGATTATTGTGAAGAGGATCTCCCAATACAGAGCGTCACTTAACAACTCGGAGAATCTAGTAGCATACTTTAGTTCCTTCCCACTAATGTTATCCGTCTCTGGATTATAAATCTGATGTGGTTTCGGTACGAGATCGCAGATATAACGAATATGCTCCAACAAACACTGCTTGGCAGCAACATACAAAGGACTAGCATCGAAATAAAAATCCTTTTCGCTCTGAGCTTTTCCGAATTCCAACTTTTGGCATTTCTCGATGGTAAGGTGGGCTCCTAATATCACACAGTGTTTCAAGATCTTCAGATTGAATTCTTTACAAGAGAGAAGGCTGAGACAATCATCAAAGTCCAAGTCCTTCAATAACTGAGCTAATTCCATGGGATTGTTACTGGCACTTGCGTGACAGCAGCGTAATCTCACTTGAGACAAGAACCAATTTCGATCCAACTGAACGCTCTTCACGGTGGACGGATTAAACGGTCTGCATTGATCGAGCTCTAGTGGTGACAGATCGTAATATTGTACCGCCAGCTTGTTCAACAAACTAACTAAACCGCCATGTTTTCTTGCCAATTTGGTGATTTGCAGGACGTCCATGATCTTCATGATATCATCCTTCGACAACTGATCCTTCACATCCTCCGCGCTAGTGGTTAACAGTATTTCTATCCGGCGACTGGCAATCTTCGCAGCCATTCTCGACAAAGCGAGATATTTGGTAGACAACAGCCGAGGTATTAAAGTCATTATAACCGCGCCGCTTTGTGAATGATGTGCGCCCTCGATACACTGCAATAGGCGCTTTATAAAACTAGGTTGCGATAAATCTGTGCATTTCGTTGCCACGGCCTGCACCAACAGCCCGCTAGCCGCCGGATTCCTGTGTATCGCCGTGGTCAAGAGATCCCTCACCGGAGATTCGGTGGCGACGTTTATTGCCTCCTCTATG